CCGGGACATGGTGACCATGTACAGCAGTGGGTTACAGATGGCCACAAAGCGGTCATAGGCCATCACGGCCAGCAGGAAGACGTCAGTGATTGCATAAACACAAAATAAATAAAACTGCACCATGCATCCCAGGAAGGAGATGGTTTTATCCTTGGTTAGCATGTTGAACAGCATCTTTGGCACGATGATCGTGGAGTAGCAAAAGTCCACGAAGGACAAGTGGCTCAGGAAAAAGTACATGGGAGTGTGAAGTCCAGAGCTGACCTGAATCAGTGCGCTCATGCCCAGGTTGCCCAGAACCGTGACTCCATAGATCAGAAGGAACAGCAGGGAGAGAAAGACTCTCAGCTCAGGGACATCAGATAATCCAAGAAGAATGAACTCTGTCACAGTGGTGCAGTTCCCCTCCCCCATTTCCACATCTGTCAGGTTTAGAAAACCAAATGATACGTTTTGTGTGTCTTCTGAAATGGACATAATAAAGCAAACACAGATTTATACTTAATTAAGAAAAATATAAAACTGATGTCAAACACAATGTATTTTAAATGTTGTTGTCAAGTCATTCAAAATGTTCAGTGTGTCAGGAGATCCCACTGATCGATTTAAAGCATCAGCAGACACCTGTGTGATTCAGTGTTATCTTCTACCACAAGAAATTGAGTTGATGAATTAACTTATGTGTTTTGATGGTCTTGAAATAGATCCAACGATATACTTTGAAAACACATTAGATCCACTCCTGTTCCCTGAAAAATGTAATAAATTCTGTTCCAGTAAGATTACAGCTACTGTGATCCTAAGTAATTTACACTAACATTTTTTAGGTCAGTCTTTCAGTAGCATAAGGTTTTAGCAGGCAAGGTCCTGTACAGTTTCCTTGTTGGGAAATGTGACCAGTCTCTGAGATTAGTGGCTCATGTGTACTCTAAATTTGTAGTTACGTGAAATGAAATAAGTACATATTTAAAATATGTACTGAAATCCATCATCATTTTCACTTGTCAATTTAACAAAGTGACTTAATTAACTATAATGGTAGTGATTAATATCAATAATGACTCAGAAAAGTATAACTTCTTTTATACATTTTTCTGGAAAGCAATTGGGTAACATATATTCTTATCCCTGACAATAATAAAAGCTACATAATATATTTATGAGAGATTTTATTTTTCTATGATATTGTAAGACATCTTTAATTATATTTACAAATTATGAAAAACTATATCTAAAACTACATTGTGGTATTATTATATTCACAATGTGGAAAAATAACTGTCAAAATAGAGCAATTTTTAAACTATATTATATCGTATCTAAAGCAGAAAGTTATGTTATAGTATTTATATGATATTGTGAAAACAGATCCAGAGACAGAGAAGCATCGATCAGACTGTCAAACCTCAGAGGAAAGGTAGGGGAGGGTGAGGGTAAGGGGGAGAGATCAACCAAAGGAGTTATATGCAAGCATATAGGCCTAACCAATGGACACAGACAACAGGGGGTGAGGGCATGAGTGGGGGGGATGGGGGTAATGTGGACACATGTAATAACTTAATAAATGAAAAAAAATTTAAAAAATGATATTGTGGAGATGGTTATTCTTATAAAAAATAAACTAGTATGCGTGGTGTATATATGTAGATTTAAATTAAATGTATATGTTGAGGTATGAATATATATACTGGAAATGACATATGATATCACTTTGATTTAGCTACAACCCTAAAAGATAAATCCTTTACTCATATTGAGAAAGAGGTAAGTGAAAACTTTCCTAAATTCTCTCTAATAATTGGTTGGGAAAGTAGTTACTTTGTATGTTCTATGAGTCCCATTTTCCCTTCAGAACTCTCCTTAAAGAAAAGTCATATGGAAAGTGAGAGATCTTATTCTCTGCCATTCTTCCTAGAGGAGTATACCCATGACTTCATACACATATATGTAATGAAAACTGAGTGAAGAGATTCTGGACTGAAAACATACCCTGGTATTTTCTCCATATCTTAAAGTAAAGAAGTGAAAACAAAAAACCTTGCCGAAGTCACAGTTTTCTCATTACTTCACCTCCCCAAAAACCTGAATTATTAGATCACTTCAGAATTCAAACAGAAAAATCAGCTTGGAAACACTTCTTCCTAATGTACTAGGATGATAATAAGAAACTAGTTTATGCTAAACACAAAACATATCTAAAGGAATTCATTTCATTTACTGAGCAGCGGTAGTTTGCATGTCCTTTTTCTCCAACTCAGGGGACACATAAATTCAACCCTCAGATTTAGGGTGACAATTAGGGAGCTCTCAATTCCATGACAGAAATTGGTGTAGAGAAAGGAAAATGAGACTGAGAGAGAGAGAGGGTCAGAGAATACCATTTGTTTCCTCTGAATTCTTTCACATGCATCATCCATGTTTGGTGTTCCAGAGGAAATTGTTCTAATTTCACTATCTATCAATGGTCTCTCAATACTAAAAGAAAAACAAACATTTGAATCAGTAAGTGCACAGGAATATGATCTGTGAAATCATTATCTAAGTAGAAGCCAAATGAGTTAGACTTATCTTACATAATTGTTTGCTGGGGAAATATATTCATTTTCACTTTCAAGTAACCAGAGCTTACCTAGCTCCAGCTAACAAACCTGAATGACAGACAGTTCTTCCGTGTTGCTGGAGATGTTAGGATAAATGTAGTACACAGTTAGAGACTTATATGTAATTTTAACACAGTTAGAGACTTCAACTGTAATTTTAACCCCTGAGGAATGGGTCCCTTTAGTTCCAATTCTATCATTAGTCATTTATGCTATAAAAATAAATGAAAATTCAACTAGTACTTCATGTGGTATGAAACACATAATTAATCTCTATGGATTATCATCAGGAACTTTTGTAAATGCCCTAATTTATGAAACAATTGTTTAAAACCAAACAAGTCTCCTTCCAGATTTCGTGGTGCTGTATGACATTCCATCCTAGTGTAATATGTGGGGGGGTCACAGATCACATGCCATCATGAAATTGAAGGAATGTTTCTCATTAATTCCTTCTTTCTTGTAATATTACAGAATTATCAAAATTCCAGCAAGGTACAGTGACTAAAGCTACACAGATTCCCTTCAAATGCTAGGACGAAGATAACCTACTGTTCAGAAAACTATTAATAGTTCACACTTCTTGGGCTCTTGTTATATGTTATAACCTATTGCATATAAGTTCCCCAGTTAATCACTCCCCACTGACTCCCTATCCCCTCCTTCCCTATGAAATACATGAGACTGTCTCATGCTTCTATGTCTCTGGATCTATTTTGTTCATCAGTTAATTTTGTTCATTAGATTCCACATATGAGTGAGATCATGTGGTACATATCTCTCCCTGACTGGCTTATTTCACTTAGCATAATACTGTCCAGGTCTCTCCATGCTGTTGCACATGGTAAGAGTTCTTTATTTTTTACAGATGCATAGTATTCCATTGTGTAAATGTACCAAAGCTTTTTTTAACCACTCATCTGATGATGGGCATTTGGCTAGATCCCCAGTGTGGGGCATGCAGGAGGGCGGACTAGATCTCTCTCATCATTGATGTTTCTCTCTCTCTCTCCTTCTCCCTTCCTCTCTGAAATCAATAAAAATATATTTAAAAATAATAATGTCAGCATAATGTTGAGAGGTTATCACTATTGTTCAGTGATTAAAACTGAGGAATGAAAAAGTTTAAATTACTAGACAAATTTTAAAATTCAGAATCAAGTCACAAACCTTGGTTTTTGTAAATCCAAGCTTAGTGTTTTCTAACATTATTATGGATATAAGGAGAGAAGCTTCATTAAATACGTAAATATAGTGTAGAAATTTACATAAACATAATGAAAGGACAAATAAATAATCAATAGTGCATATAAATCAGGATTGAATGAAGAAATATAATTTAAACCCATAAAGGAAGGATAAACAAAGGTCATTTGTTTCATCAACAGCAAAAATTAAAAAAGAACATAAACAAAGGCTGAAATCCACCTATAAGTCACAGTAAGTGTTTGATCCACAAATTGTAAAATAAGCATGATGATAAGTAAAAAATAAAGTGATTAAAAAGGCCACGGTCAGAAATGCTGCCCCACATGACTATGGTTATTAACTGCATGTATACATTTTATATACACATATATACACACATGCACACTGAGACAGATAGTGTTATATTGTAAATCAGCGGACTAGACAGAAGACGCCTTAATCAATAAGCCAAATTAATTTGGAGCCTTTATTACGCTAGCAGTCTCAGAGGAGTTGTCTCTCAAAGTCTGAACAAATTAACCTGGAGGAAATTTTCCCTTTATATCTTTCTAGCTTCTTTGTCTCCCAAATATGGAATGGGGCTTCCGGACCTTTCACAGGCTTTTCAAAAAAAAAACACCTATCTGCTGGGATGGTGCCGTGAGACTATATCTCAAGGCCTGGCCTGGCACCAGTATTGACAACTCCGTCTAGGGGTTGTATGGTTTATGGCCTTTCCAAAATGTGAGCAGTGCTTAAGTAAACAGGTCCTGCAGGACCAGATAAGGAAGCTTTTTTTTCCTATTATGTGAGCAAGCATGTTTATATAACAAGGAATCATTTTAGTAGAAAATTTCAAACAGCAGTTTTTACAACATAGAGGTTACTGGAACAAGATGGCCTATGATTCAATAGAGGAACAGAGACAGAAACAGGGAACTAATTAAGTGCCATAAATTGTTCTAAGTGCTTCACATATGACATATAACTTAATTTCCCCCAACATTTCTGAGAAATAATTATTATTAGTGTTTCTATTTTTTAAATATTAGTCTCTGAAATTCGAAAGACATTAGACACTGCAATGACGATAACAACAAAAATATAATAAAGAAAGCAAGCAGTGAACAACAAACAGAATATACACATATGGGAGTCTCACTCTATGCATAAACTGGCAAAGATGATTCTTCATTGTAAAATAGGAGGAATTCCATTTTGAAATGAATCATACTTTCCATAATAGGTCAGCAACTCTGTTGTTTCTCAAGAGTTTTCCATTAATCTTATGAAGGTTTTAGAGCAAACAAAATGTGTGGGTCTTAACAGTCCAATACCCAAAACATTTTATTTTTTTAAAACTTTATTGTTGAAAGTATTATATATGTACCTTTTTTCCCCCTTGATCTTTTCTAGCCATTTCCAGCCCCCCACCCCAGGTCTTTACCACTCTATTGTCTGTTTCCCTGGGTTATTTATATATGCATACAATTTCTTTGGTTGATCTCTTCCTGTCCACCCTCCCCCACCTTCCCTCTGAGATTCCACAGTCTGTTCCAGCACAATACTCTCCAGGTCCCTCCAGGCTGGCTCAAAGGGTAAGAGATCCATCTTTTTTTAGATTGAATAAAAGCAAAGACCAAAGTTGCAAATTTTGAAATGTGTTTAAACAGACCCAGGTCAATTGCGGAGACAAAGAAAATTGAATGTGAAAACCTCACTCATAAAGACCTGCCTCCTGGCTGTTCCCTCCACTCTATAACACAGCAGCTAACCAAGTCACCCTACATCAGCCTCCATTATGGGACCCTCGGTCCTACTAAGAAAATATTCTCCAGGAAAATATTTTGGAGCTCACCACTTTCCTGAGAGCTTCTTTCACATCCTTGTTCCTCAAGCTGTAGATCAGGGGGTTCAGCATGGGAATCACTACAGTGTAAAACACTGAAGCCACTTTGTCAGTATCCACACTGTTGCCAGAACT